TAATTGTGTAATTATTACACAATCTTTCATTTTAAGTTATTTTCTTTTAGAGTTATTTGTAACCCTATAAATAGGGTCTTCTACATTGTAATAAATAAGATCTTACATTATAATATCATTCTTATTTTTCTTAACATGGTATCAGAGAGATTTCGATCCTAAACAAATTACCCCTCAAATTTTGTTTCCGGCGACCAGCCTAAGCGCTGCTCGTCCAGCCAAGTTTTTTTTCCTATTTTTTTGGACTTAATTCACCGACCAACTACAAAAGTGACGGTCAAGTTTTTTTTTTTTTTCCTTTTTTTTTTTGGACTTAATTCACTGACCAATTGCTAAAGAAACTGCTGTGGCTGCATAGTTCAAAAGCGAAGGTGGTTCCCAAGTAAAAGAGTATTGTTCAACATTAACAAAAGAAGATTGCCGCCGTCAGTCTGGTTCCTTCATTGCTTGTGACAAGGTTCATTTTTGCTGCATAATTGGTCTTCATACTGAAAAAATAAGTTTTTTTCAAACTGATGCTGAGTATAGGATCTTTTATGGGCTTCAAAACGAGCTAAATCACGCCTTAAATGCGTAATTGATGTTACGCCTAACCCTGTAGCATCCAAGCGCTATGCGTATAGCGCCTAGGCATTGGTAGTTGCACCTGGGCGCTATATGTGCAACGCCTAGGTGCTATCTTTCTAATCTAAACTGTTATTTTTCGTGTATTGTAGCGCCTGGGCTATGAGTGCAACACATAGGCGTTGCCTTTCTACTCCAAATTCTTTGATTTTGACTTTTTTGTCCACTTTAATATCTTTTTTTACGCTGCCTCTCCTAATTTTCAAAACAATATTAAACAACACATTAAAAACATTTTATACTCATAAGATCTAGATAATAATCAAGTCAAAATTGTGTAAAACTTGTGAGTAAGACAACTCGTCAACTCCTAACTCCTTCAATGACACGGTAAATTTCATTTCATTGGATTTAAAAAAATAGAGTTAAAAAGCATTCAAAGAGTTAAAATGAATGAAATAAATTCAATGATATGTAGATGGTGCAATATTATAGACAAAGTAAAAGGAACATGCGATAAGAGGCTGTTCGTTTGAAGTTATTTTTCTATTATACTATTCAATATGACAATAGATGAGATCAAATATAATGTAAAAGGATAACTTGCAGAACCCAAATTATAGGATAGTGCAAAATGAAAGAAACCACAAGATGAAACAAGATAGGTAACACCATAAATCCAAACATATTGTCTTGTAAAGATGTGGTCCTCAATGGCTTTTAAGTTCATGACCACGGGCACGTAGTTTGTCCACATCCCCAATCAATTCTTCTTGGATAGAAGTTTAGCATTTTTCGACGTTCACTTAGCATCATCTTCTTCTAAACTTGCATTCCACTCTACACATTTAGCTAAACCCTGCATAAACATGATGGGGAAGAACAGAGCCAGACCTGATGGGAGGCCCAAGAGGCCTCCGCCTCAGGCCCAGAATTTTAGGGGGTCCATTTTTTACTTTTTACCTTTTTTTTAACCCACTATGCCTATGTGTTCAAAAGAAACGAATAAATACTTTAATGAAAAGAGAAGGAAGGAACATCAAAAAAATTTATTTGTTGTTTTATTGTTGATTTAAGTTAACAAATTTAATTCCGTAAACTTCTAATTTTTTATTTTATTTTTTTTAAAAAGGGATTGTTTGCTACGACTTAGGGCCTAAGGCCCAAATTCCGAAGTTCGCCTCAGGCCCCGCGAAGCACAGGTATAGCCCTGGGGACGAAGAGCTATGAGAGTAAATTCCACAAGGGGAAAATTAACATTGACATAGCTATGAAAACAATATTAAAATTCTAAACAGAAGTTGCATGAAGCTGGAAGATGCTGACCAAATAGCAAAATTTGTTGTAATAGATGGAAATCCGTGCCCTTGACTATTGATCCCTAATTGAGAATGAAACATATAGCCTTCGGCAAATCATCAAATGAGTATGAACTTTGCCTATGGGTCTGATTAGTGTATCCAACAGGTAAGATATTGACGAGAATATTCATAACTTGTGAAATGAAGAAGTTTTGTGTAAATCAACGATTTTGGTTATAACTTGACTTGTTATAGAACAATGTATATACAAGTAAAAGCTTTGAAGTTCAAACCCTTAAGCAAATTGTACACGTACTTTGTATTGCTGACAACCTAAAAACATGACGAGAATGTATGCTCAAACACACAGGGTACTATCAAATTAGAAAATTTGAAATGCCAAACAAATAATAATGTCCTAATTGAACAATATAATGTTAACAAACAAGATCTTTTCATAACCAAATATTGTCAAAAGTCAAAAGCTGTGTAATTTCTTTGAAGGCCATTTTTTAGTCTTCTTATCTTTCCCAACTATTCACATCTAACAACACCCAAAGATATACATAGAGACTAAGTAAACCTTCGGTGAAAATGAATTGATAAACATTTACTTTTGCTTCATTGTGATAGTGACGACAATCAAAATTCTCATTGCAGCAAGGTGCCCTGATGTGGTACCTTCAACAATAATAGGAACACCTGTTAATAGAAATGTTTCGCGCGGGTTAATTTGCTAACAATTAAAGAGGATCAGAC